CACATAATATTTCATAATATTTTTAACTTTTTGAATTACATAACACGATTTCAAAACGTGTATGTTACAGTTATTGTTGTTGCTAACCTTGAGTGAGAGAGAGAGAGAGAGAGATTTTATTTTTGTTTTATTTTTAGTTGTTTTTTAATTGTTGTAATAAAAAAAATGAAAAATAAAATAATAAGGGGCAAATCCGTCATTATAAAAAAGTTCATAGGAAATTGGACTAAACTCGCAACAAAACGAAACTATTGGACCATCTTTGCAAGCCAAACCCATTTTGGACCAAAGTTGCTAGTTTTGACATACCACATAGACCATTCTTGTAATTTTGTCATATATAAATATATATTAAAGATGACCATCTTTATGAATAGTGAACATTCTGGTTTTTTGATAAAATTGGTCCATAAGTTTTTATATTTTTAGTGGTTCAGATTTTTGGCACTAAAATTTGTGATATTGGCAATTTGGTCCCTTCAATTATTAACAGTAGTGTAAAGATAAGGATGGGGCTGATACGTGTCTTCAATTATTAACAGTAGTGTAAAGATAAGGATGGGGCTGATACGTGTCTTGAGGTTCTCGATTCTTCTGATTTTTCTGCTTCATTCTTTTCTCCCTCTCCTCTCAAGCACACAGGTGGAGATTTGGGATAATATATTTCACCTTCTGGAACCTGTCACCGCCAGATCTCCTTCTTCTCTACTTTTCTTCTTCATCTCTAGCTTCATGGATTCGGGGTCCCCAACGCCGAAGACACGACCGCCGCCACAGTCGGCACGGCCCAACCTGACCTCACCTCCAGATTTCGGTTCAGTAGATATATGCCGACCTTCCGCAATACATTTGCTTCCCTCTCATCCCACCTCCACCGTTGCCTACCTCCGTTAGGGTTCGCCATCTAATCTCAGGTATGATCTTCAGGCAGGTGTTTTAGATAACGGTTTGGATTCATGTCTACTTCCATTTAGGTATAACGATGTCCAACCTCAACCTTAATTTTTTGCTTTCGTTCTCTCATCTATAATTTTTTTTTATTTTTTTTCAGCAACTTCCATTACCCGTGTACACTTCTTGTTGGCCACCACCAGTGTCGTCTTCCGATTGAACAACCACGACCACCACCTGTACCTTAGATGAACCCGGTTCGAAACGGTGAGTTGTACCGTGTGATTGCGCTTTCATTCACCCGGCGTTTGATGAAGCTTTTGGGCTGACGGTGGGAACCGATTCTCACCTCCGGTTAGAAGTCGTCGCCTCCTGCGTTTCACCTATATCAACTGTCAGCTTTGGCTTCCATCATCGATTTAGGGTTTATTGCTCCAGGTATGTAACCGACCTGATGATTGTTCCCAATTTCCAAATCGTTTAGCATCAAAGTTGATTAACGTTTTTCAATTTTGCAACAGAAACACATCTGCTTTGCTTCAGTCTATACTTCTTACGAGATTTTGATAGGATTTGATATGCCCCTGTATTTCGCTGCCATCATCCTCCATGTTTTCCTATTGCGTCTTCTTTATTCTTTGTGTTCCCTTCTAAATCATAGGATATGGACCATAGTTTATATTGTTTCTTTTTCCTTTTACTAATTTTGTACATTTTATAGGGAAAGTTTTACAGTGATGCAACATGAGATGGAGTCACAAATTCACTACCTTGAGCAAATAGCATACAGTTCAGTGCTACACCCTTTCAAATCACAATCTGATGCGCTTCATGGGTGTGATTTTCACCTTTCTACAAATATATATCCAATGTTTAATTTGTAATCTGATGAATTTATTTAAATGCCCTCTCAGGAGAAGTAAGGATTAATAACTGAACTAGGAAAGAGGAGTGTGTTTTTGATGATGAACATAGAGAACTACTCTCAAAATGGAGGCGTACCACAATGATCAACATTCCCCAATCTATCCATGACCCAATTTCACTCTCGGCCCAACCGTTTCAGCATCTCGGAAAAGGCAAAAGACAAATATGCCCATGTATTTACCTACATAATTATTTTCCGGCTTCGGAGGCGGAATCTGAACCCCTAAACCAGTAAGTAAATTTTGAATTCAATTTTTGATTTTCTATTAAAGGGGCTGTTTTTCTTTCTCTCTCCATTAATTCCTCTATAGGTGAAGTAGCTTAATAGTTAGTGATGTTTGTCTGGATAAATTGATGTATGCATTAGGTCTGTTTCTTTTCTAGAATGAATAAAGCAGCTGAGTGAGTAAGGGAAAATAGGTAAAAGGTTAGCGTCTTGATACATTAAGCCAACTGTATTAAGTAAAAAAAACAACAACCATGTAAGTTGTCTAGATTAAGTGCTTTACCTAGGTTTACCAAATGAAGCAATTGATGTGGTTGTAGGTTTACCAAATGAAGCAATTGATGTGGTTGTAGGTACTACAAGTGATCAATTAATTGGTTTCTACGAGGCTGTCATACTATATGCAATTGGATTTAGGGCTTGCTGTTTAGCTTCCTACTTGTGAGTAGTATGGTTTAGGGAAGTTTTTTGAAAGTCATTCTCATTGTGGTGTCATAAATTGATCACAGTTGGGAACCACATGTAATTTCCTAAAATGCCCTCATTTATTTTGTTGTAGTGTTCGATTGATTAAATGATAAGGATCACTTTTGAAGATTTGTACAACTTTCAAGAGTAATTTGTCTGGTTCAGTTTTAGCTTTTTCTATCTGCAATAAAGATAATAAGAAGGTTCAATTTCATTGTTTTTTTTTTTTTTGAATTTGCTATTTGCATACTTTTAGTTTTGGTCCCATTAAGTGAGCTTACCATCCGCTGCTTTTAGATACTTTTTCACCAACTTAATTGACACATCATTAAATCAATTTATTAAAAGATTCTTTTATTTTACTTATTGGTGAAAATTTTATCATATCTTGTGGAAGTCCTTTGAAGTTTGAGGATATAAACTTTCCAACGTACGATAAGATATCATTTTATAGTTGACAAAGCAGAAAAGAGTGAAATATGTGATATGTTAACATGCATGCCCGATATAGATCATTGTATTTGTATCTGTTATGGCTAATTCCGGAAAAAAAAACCTTACATTTTTTTACAGCTTTTACTAATTTATGCAAAAATATCAGTTTTCATACCATTTGATACATCAAAGAGTAAATTAAAAAATAGTCCATATGGTTTGGTCAAATTCATAGTGTTGGTCATGGGCAAAAAAAATTGATAGGTTATATCTTGTAGTTTTTAAAAATTACACCGAATATCCCTTGGTCTATGTAAAAAGAGTAAACTATCCTTTCTAATTTTTAACTTTTCTTTTACCAATTAAAGAACATTTGGGTCTATTATTGAACATGTGATTTGATGAATCTGATTGTAGAAAAACAAAATTTTCTAAACTAGGTCATTGAATGATAAGACCGGCCTTACAAGAAGCACTTCTGATGGATTTAATTGTAAGACTTTTTTTTCAATGTTTCTGTTGAGTTTATAGTTTAGTTCTTTTTAATAACTAAAAATGCTAAATAACTTGATATGCAACATGTACATACATACATACAGTTATATTGTATTTTTCTTTATGTTAATGGTGAGTAATTTATTTGAACACTATTTTTTACAAGTCCCAGTCTATCCCTCTTAAATCATTAACTCTTTTTTGTTGTGGACTAAAATCCATGCCCCTTTTGAGTTTTATTTGGCATGGTTTGGTTGGGTTGTTCTTCGATCGGAGTCCACACGTAAACCCGTCAGGCTTCATCGACAGGTTTAGGAAACAACATTGTTCAATAAGATTTACAAAGAACAAACAACGGATCGCGAGGTTTTCATAATGGATTTGGTCAATACTCAAACTATAAACAAATACTCAAACTATAAACAAATAGTTGATCAAATAACATTTTCAAAGAACAAACAACGGAAAAAATTGTTGCATCCGACCCAGCAACGCGGGGGTTCCCCGCCTAGTTATATTTACAAATGAATAAAACACTTGGAATAATGTTATTATTCTCTTTATTTATCTTTACACGTTATCCTAGAAGATTTTAGTGTTTTAACTCTGATTTTGATGATTCCAACTGTTGATTGTGATTTTAACAACCTTATGAACTCCATGAAACCTACCAAAATCATAAAAGAAGTATCAAAATGTATGTCACATCGAATTAGTACACATATATTCGTTTATCTTTAAATTACATTGTAATAGTTTATTATTAAAATGGTACATAATCATTTATGATTAAAAGGTATATAATCAATTTTGGTTAAAAAATATATAATATCTACAAAAATAGCATTATTAAAGAAAATAAGTCTTTCGAAAAATAAGGGTCTTAAAAAGGGGACTTAGATTCTTGAAATGAACTCCATGACAACTGAGAAATTTTAGAGTGATATATCATTTCTTTTTTACTTAAAGAAATCAATCTTTAACAAATGAATACATCTAAATTTGGCCGAGTGGAAAATTTATTGCAAAGATAACATACCTTATTATCATGACCACCAAGTGATATCTCAATATTTATTTGGACTAACTCAAAGCATGAAAAGATCCATATGCTCTATGATCTTAAAAGTAAGCATCAAGACTAATTCAAAACACTTGGAAGTTCTAATACATTTTGGATTAATCCAAGCATCCAACGTACTCACCTTCCAAGATTCTTGTTACATCGTGATAGATTTTGTAGGCAGCTAACTATTTTCCAGAAGCAAATACACTAAAATACAACACTAATTTTGACTTAATCCCTTTTCTTGATTATCACTCTTGTCTGTGAATTCCATCAAAAGTAAATGAAATGTTTAAATGGTTGCCTATAGAGGTTTGGTATCAATACATAAAACATCATAGTAGCATACAATCGATGGTTAAAAAATTATATTTCAAAAAACAAAATGAATAAGAAAATGAACAAAGGTAGTGATAGAAGGTGTAATCGAAATAAACACTCAAACAGAGGATGCCAATGAGGGGTTTGAAGATCGATCGGGGAGTTAGAGAAGGAGAACTTGGGTTGTTATTGAGGTAAACAAAAATGTATTTGATAGAGGTGGTTGTTCGGAGGTGGTGCGTTGGGGAACTGATGATAGCGGTCACGGACGTGGATATGGTAGTGAGCCATTTTTATCAAAAAAGAGGGTTGCGGAATCAACAACGGTTGTGTCGAGTTTAGAATGTCTTGGATGTATGGAGATGAATATGACGATGATGAAGGTTTTTGGTGGAGTTGATTTAGGGTTACGAGGTTGCTTCATATGTTCCGTAATTTTGGATTAATAAATGATTTAAATGAATTCCATTATTATTTATCTAGTATTAAGGAAACAATAAAAGCCCTAAGGTCTAATTTTTATTTAGAATTTCATGACATAAGTTTTAAAAAGTTACATAAATGACACATTAATATTTGTTTCAGATCTTGAAATTTAAAGGGTCAAGATATATTATCGCGTTTTTAACCTTTTGCGGTGTTCTCGATTTAACCTACCTCTCTCTCTCTCTCTCTCTCTATATATATATATATATATATATATATATATATATATATAT